GGGTGGTGGGCTGAGGAGAAGGCTTGCGTCGTTATGACGGTGACCGATGCTCCGTCTTGGAGTTTACTGTTTGTTGTCTCGGGGGTGTGTGTGGGTGATACACTGTGCGGTACCCACTCAATTTACTATGCATTTATACATCATAAGAAGAACATGTATCCTGAATCTCTTACGAAAGCATCCGCATGGCGTGCAACACGATTCAGTTTCTTCGCATCCAGCCTTTGATGAGTTGATGTCGGCAGTTTCGGGGTATAGTGTTCGCCCAAGTGTCAGCAAATGCGCGCAGAAACCAACGCCTATCGGCTTCGTGGAATGGGTCAGGAAGGGCTACCGGCTCGAGGAACACAGGATCAGTTCGCACCAGCAAGCACAAAGGCTTAGCTGAAAGTGTTGACATCACCTCGTCCCACGCGGCAGCATCACCCGAGCGACAGCCGCGGTGTGTACGACACTGCGACTGTTGACACGGCAGTTGCCTGGACACATCTCCTCGAGGCAGACAAAAGCGACGCCTGCAGTGTGACTGAAATCGGAGGGCAAGGCTGATGATCACCAACGGCCACCTTTCCGACCTTATGCGGCTCTGTGGCGGTACCGTGCATGTTGCCTGGCTGGGGATTATCTCCCGGGTGTGTCGCTACACCCACCAGCTCGGTGTGTCGCTGCACTACGGATTTCCCCATGCAGATTGGCGTCGAGCCTGGCGTGGTTGAGTCGAGTCTTTGACGAAGATACTGTGATATTGGTGCGATGTCATTTCTCACGATGGTTACAAAGAAACGTTGTCCCACGATGCAAATGGGTCCCAATCAAGTGCCGCAGACCTGTTGCGCGGGTGTAATCGGATGGCTGGTGGTAAGAAATGAGGGAGGTAATCAGAATTTGCTGGCGGTACGTACCTCGGCCGATGCTGTGTGACGAAGATGTTGAAACTCACTCCGCGTGGCGTTGAGGCTGTACCTCTTGGGTGTCTTGCATCATGCAAAAAGTACCTTGTTGGTTGTTTGAGCGGGACGCGGATGCATTTGGCCAGTCGTGGATACTGGTGCTGGAACATATTCAATGTTGCCGATCGACGGGAACGGAGGTCATGGGCTTTGCAGATGGCTCCATTTGTAGCCATCGTCGGCTGCTCATCGGTGGTGTATGGAATGCCCAGTTCAGACGTGATTCAACCTGTAGTGATGAGCTGGATACGAGCAAGCCGTGCCGAGCGGATGCTACAAGAGCCTTAGTTGGGTTGGGAACTTTTCTGAATTCATCGGTGTAGCGCGTGCACCAGATCAAAAGTGAGCACCGAGCGGCGAAGTATGATGTGAGTAGCTAGCTCGCGAAGTGAAGCGACTGACAGCTATCGCTCGGTGATGAGAGTGACGGGTGGGCCTCACGGATCAGACCCGGCATGCTGCGAGATACTCTTACTCTCAGCGTTTGACCAAAGACTAATTCTGCTGAGGCGGTCTCTCGAGCCCGGTGTACGACTAGAGAGCAAAATCGCTGGGGACTATCGAACGTGCTTCGACAGTCTTAGTGGGTACTTAGCACCATATGGTTCATTTTCCCGGAGGTAACAGTATGTCTGGATCCGGGCAAGTCTTCACAATTGTGTACCCTGGTTAATCCGAATTCGTGGTAGCTTTGATGAATACAGCTATCGCATGACCATGACAGAGTAATTTTGCCCGATAGCTCACTTGCTGAAAGAAGCATGACAGTGCCATTGTTACCACGCGGGTTTATTCGACACGGTAAGCGGACGGAACGGCCCCTTAGTCTGGGGGATGCAGTACACAGATTAGCGCCAGACTAATGGTGGATAATACCCTCGCATCTTCGTGTGAGTTGTCGGGTCGACAATAATGACGTAGCATTTCCAACGCCCGTAATTTGTACCGTTGCTTGAAGGAACTGGGTTTCGAATTCGTACTGTCTACCTGTTGCCGAAAGGGTTTGACCAGCGATGCCAAGCATCGGTACGTGAAGGAGCGGTGTAGTGTTCGGGAGTAAAGAGTCGCTGTCGGGAGAGAACGTTTAGCCACGGGTGCTGCACGAAGAAACGAGACAGAGAATGCCTACTCCGTTTCAGCTGCGGCGCAAAGCATGCAGCCGAGATCGGACTGAGCGCTGTGCCACGGCTTTCAAAGCAGTTCATCAGGGTCTGAGTCGGAAACGTGGGCGCGAGGACAAAGAGCTTAGCAAAGGCACTGTTGCCGACACCCTTCCAATATCCGGAGGATTGGCATGAGAAAAGCCTGGGTAAGAGGCAAAGGAAACTGCTGCGTTTCGCTGGTTATAACACCGGTGCTTCATCGAGAAGTATACCTCAGGTGTAGTAGTGCTTGAGTCAGACGTGTTAGTCCCATCGACAACAGACCAAGTGATGATCCACAAGTAGAGGAAGCTCGGCGATGTCAGTAGGATAGTCATGATTGGTCGATCGAAAGTTTCGACTCGTGACTATATTGCACCGCACACGAGAGCTTGGAACGCATCCTCAATCTGAGGAAGATAGGGACCGGGGTTTGAAAGATTGGTATAGTACAAACGACAAGCCATTATCTCTGATCGCGATCTCGTGGCTTGGCTGCATCTTTCAGACGCTTGAGATTGGACAGCTCGAATTGACATCCGCTGTGAACGTACGACAGTTGTAGATGGTCATACCACGGAAGGACGGCTATCGGTATGAGCTAAGAAGCGAAACGGCGATCGCAGTCCAAACGGGCGGCGGGTCGCGGGTTGTATCGCCAAACGGTTTGGCTCATGCAAGGCTGCAAAAGCATCGAAAGCCTAGACTGTGCAGAAAGGCGGGGACAGGGCGTAAGTTTGCTTGCGGCTGCATGTTACAGGGCTTGTAGATAATCGTGGCTTCGTTAGCGCCGAACTTGACAAAATGAAAAAGCGACGAGGCTCAGCGAAACTGACGGTGCCGTGACACGCACGTACACTATCCAGCAAAGATAGGGTAGCAAACCATAGTGGTGCCATTGAGTTCTGACCGAATGATCTCAAAGTAGCTTGGCGATTCCGAGTTGGTGTGATGGGGACAGTGCTGTTTCATCGCATATTGATGAAGGACACCTCATGCGGAACGCATCTCTTCGTCGTCAGCGTCAAAATGATCCATCACAATATGCAGCTGAGCTCCTTGCGTACCGGTATTGGTTCCGCAGTCCAAATCTTTGTGGCACCAGTGTATACAGCCGTTGGCAGCCTCTAAAGCGACTTGCGGTTAGGTAGACGATCTGGAAGTTTAGCGTCCCCGGGATACTGGTTGACATGTACCTGTCCATATGCTCCCAGGCAGGTGGATAGACATGGCGCAGGCATTTTCTGATCTGCTCTCGTTGAAAGTGTGCGACGCCCCATGCACATCGTGCAGGTCACAGGCACGAGAGAGAGTCGTCTCCTTGAATTCGGAAAACTGCAGACTGATGCGAGCGGGCGCTACAAGCGCACTGCGAAGCACAAGGGTTACGCTAGCGATAGAGAATCCTGGTGTACCGAAGCCGTTCGGGAAGTTGAGAATGTATAAAGACGCGTCTCTGGCCTAGATGAGAGGTACTCGATCTGTTCACCTTGATTCTTCAGTGTCGCTTCACATTCCTTCAATCCTGCAGTCGTATTTTGCCCGCCTGTCTCTTCTAGATCGTCACTGTCATTCGCTTCAACCATGTCGTCCAAGATGCAACTCCAACACCGGCACCTACCCAGAAGCGTCATCTGGATGCACACGCCCATCGACAGAGTAGCCATTCCTTGTATGAATGACGCTGAAGGCATCGTCACTATGCCGGTGAGTCGAAAGCGATCATTGCTTTGGCGTCCACTGATCGTTATAGGTACCCGGTCGTCGCTGCCCTGCCTGTCTCGAGCGTGGAGACACGGTCTGGGTTATCCCTGGAAAGTGCTGCATTCAGTGCGGTACTCCCGTCAACTAGACGGATGCTACATCACAGTGAGTATACACTGAGGCGACGCTGTGACATTGACTGATCACCGTGCAGGACGAACGTAACTTCCGAACTTGAGCCTTCGCGTACTTTCCGGCGGTCGTCATGGCGCGCTTAGAGTGACTTCCGCATCTTGCGTTTGGGGGTTGTTTGTCTGCATTTTCAATTGTTGTCCAGTAACGTTGTACTTGTACTTGGATTGGTGGATCTGTAATCAACTCAGACGGTTCCATGTGGCTTAGTGCTGGTGTGAGCGGTGGACTCGAGCTCAATCTACGTGTGTCAACTTGGTGATCAGCGAGTGCCTATTTTGGATGTGGCTACTCTTACCGTCATGCCCTCAGTGAACACTGTAGAGTGAAAGAGCGATTCGTGAAGTGCAGGTCGCCGACAATTGTGAGAGTCCGTAAATATTGTAGCGCACCCACGATATTCTGAGTTCCTGTGGAATTGACGTGATGGCGCCATCTCGAGCCGTGACGAAGTTTTCGAATGTGATGTAATCAGAGCTGAGCGTGGAAGGGGCCGATGGAGCTTTGCTTGGCGAGTCAGGGTCCAGGAAAGAGCGGCCAAGAGTGGGCAGCGGCTGACGCAACGGCGGGCGACGGCATAATCAATCGCAGCCTGTTGAAGTGACCCGTTCACGATTTGAGTGTTAGCAATAGAGATGGAAGTATGACTGATTAGCACTGTGTGACATGCAAATACACGGATGAATTAAGTGAGATAGCTGGATCGGAAAACAGCCGAACAGTGTCCGGCGCGTGCAATGTCAGAATGTCAAGCCTGACTACGATCCCCAATAAACGCCTATTCATCCCAGCATATGTGGTGATGTATGCCAAACCTCAACGCCATATCCAAATATATTACAGATTGCCATTTAGCCCAGGAAACAAAGCTTGGTCATTATAGTCGTATTGTGTGGGACCGCAGAGGCCGGATCGTGCTTGGTGCGCATGCTGGCTCGGTCCTATATCGCGTCTCGCTCGATGCCCCCTTTACCGGGTTGTTGGGTGACCTGTGGAGTACGCGATGAGGTGTTCATTTCCCCCCAGTTTGCCGTTCATGTTGAGTCATGACCCATCGCATCTTATCGCGGGTTTGTTCCAACGAATCGACAAGTTTCTGTGCCTCGCGCTCCTTCTCTGGCAGTGCGCGTCGCAGCCTCTCTGCTTCCTGTATGAGACCATCCATCTCTTTCCGGTGCTCTTTTTTGTATACCTCCATCAGATTGACCAGCTTAGCCTCGGCCCGTGTGGATCGCGAAGATTCGTGTTGCAGCTGGTCGCTGATGATGGCTTGTCGCTTGATCTTGTCGGCGTCTTCGAGGCGCTTTCTCCGTAGCTCGTTGAGCTCGTCGTTGATTTGGCGGACCTTCTTCTCGTAGCCGTCGGTGATGCGCTTGAAGCCGTCTCGTGCTGTTTCGAGGTTCGTGTCTGCCATGCCCCTCATCTCGTATGCTTGCGAAAGCTGTCGTTGCGTCTCGGATCGTGTGTCGCCCAGCATCCGCAGCGCTTCTTCGGCTCGCTGTTCGGCGGACTTCCTTCTTTGTATTTCGGCGTCGAGTGTGGCCTTGAGTTCTTCGAGCTTCCGGTCTTTCCGCTCTATGGCTCGCGCATTGGTGTCGGCGAGCACTTGGAGATGTTGGTGCTCGGCGCGGGAGTCTTCGGCTTTGGTTTGCGCAGCCGACCAACGCTTGGCCTCATCTTCTCTTGCGAGCTTCTCGGCCCTGAGTTCTCGTCGCAGGCGGTCGTTCTCTTGTGTGATCTTATCAATATACTGTGACGTCTTTGAGTTGGGGGTGCTGTAGTGGTTGGGGCGGGCCCACGGGCTGTTCTCATCGGCGGCGGCAGCCATGGCGGCTTTGTCGACAGCTAGCGGGCCTGAGACGTTGCGGGGCGATGTGTACGAGGGCATGGTGGTGGTCGAGGTCGTGCGTGCTGGTGCGGCGTTCGCAGTGCGAGAAGTGTCGTCGGTGGTCCAAGCTGACCCGTTCATGTCATTCCTCTTGCGGGCGGTGAAGTTGAGTTCGGGGAGCAATGGGGCCGAGTCTTGAGAGGGTTAGCATCCAACGTTGTGAAGGCGCGTTTCAGGAAGCGGCATCGGGGGGCCAAACAATGCAATTGTGCAGCGCAGCGCGGACAGGAAAGATGTTTATGCGGCGCGTCAATCAGGACGATGGGTGATGCGCTGTGTTTGGGCACGCCAGGGGTCCACCCTAGCGCTAACTTACCTGGAGCCGTAGCGGCCGCGACTACCTTCCTTCTGCGAAAGGGAAGGAGCGGCATGCTTCGAGTGCGCAATGCGGCAGGACTGGACATCTGTCTCTGGATTAGTTTTGGTTTTTCGAGAGCCGTCGACCAAGATCTAAGATCCAGTGCTGCTGCTCAGCAACTGCCCACGAAAAGGCACGAAAAAGAATGCAACTGCAGCAATCTAGCGGAGATTGCGCACCACCAACAGATGACTGGGTTGAGGGGGACTCATACCTTGCTGATGGTCTTGTCGTGCTCCGGCGGATCTTCACAAATCGTTAGCAACCTCTATTGTTCTTCACTCGTTGGTATCTGGCAGGCGGCGAGGTTGGGCGGATGAGGTTCCAAACGGTCGTTATATCACGAGCAACAGGAGCGGCCAAGTCAAAAGCAATGCATTTTGCAGTGAAAACTAGTCTAGCCCTTTGAAGCGCCTACAAACCTCCCCTTCACTTCAGCTTGGATTCATCGTGGTCTGGTAATGCTGGTGTAGCAGTTCGCCAATCAGCGATGATCCCCGTTCAGGAACCCGCTGTCAAGTGGGGCGGAACCCTAGCAACTGCCCTACGGAACGTGACGTGTGCGTTTCCCGCACGAAACACCGTAAGACTGCTAGGCTCGTCAGCATGAACGCGTTCGTGCCGGGACATTGCGAAGCTTACGAGTATACTGGGGAGTCCTTGGTACTCCAAGATTCGATCCTTTCGCACCGAATTACCACCACGGAAGCCAGCGGCCATCACAATGATGCTCATGTATCAAAGTATTGAGCCTACTGTAACCCGCAAGTCTGCCTGCTCCCTCCGTCACAACAATATCGCAGGCAGTATACCCCACATTGCACTACCAACGTGGCTGAGCCTCACCGCCCCCAGCATGACTGTGTTGGGAGTCACTGTGTAACATGGTTGGACGTGATTTTCACTTGTAACAACGGCCGCCACCCTCCATGCAGATGGGCCTGGTACTGTCTCTATGAATAGACCCAACCGCTGAGGGAAGAGCGCAGCACGCTGACCAGAAAAATTTCAAGCATCACAAGGAGATCATAACTTGCGCAGAGGCGAACTGAATGCACTTCCACGTCTTGCCTTTTTGACGTCGTCCATTCATGAACCTGAGCGTTACGTCAAATGTCCTGTAAGAAGACGGTTTCGTCAGTGGTCTATGGTTGAAACATGTTTCCGTAGATTGAGGCTTGATGTGGTCATGGACAAGTCAGTTTCTTGGTCGATCATGTGCCTTTCCACCGTATGGACTGGATCTTTGTCTGACAATGAATCAGGGCGGCCAGGAAACGATGGTGGAGTAACAATACAATACTGAATACCAAAGACCGACTGTCAAAGCACAATAACAGACACTACAAATGAAACGGATATCATTCCTTGAGTATGTACATCTAGCGAGCGAAATTCATCTCCATCTAGAACATGTCAGGCGCCTTCTTGACGCGAGTCTTTGGGCCTGTCACGGGCGTCTCGGACGAGATGTCGTTATTCCTCAACTTCTCCAGCTTGCGCTCATTGTCCTCGTACGCCAGCTTCTTGTACTTCTCGATAACCTTGTCCATCTGCACTTGGCTTCCGGCGGGGACGTTGTATGGCGATCCGACGTTCATGATCCTGTACTCGTTAGCCTCCGACTTCCACATCAATGTCCTTTCCCTGGGTGGTGCTTCGCCTCCACGCAACCAATGCTTCCTCCTACAGGCCTGTATGCCTCATTCCGGGTATACATACTCGGGAAACTTCATGTCGACGTATTCCTGAGGCCGTGTGTTCGCGAACAGCACCCTGTCCTCACCCGCCTGCTCGATCATGCGCACGTGGTGGTCGTTCTGCGAAGTCCACTTCTCGTGTAGTCCAGCCGTCGCATTGGAGATCATGCGGGTAATGTAGGGCTCGTTGTTCTCGCCGTCCGGTCGCGACAAGGCGTATACGGCGATTCCGACGGGGATGACGCCAATGGTCATGAAGAAGCCATACTACATGCCAATTGAGTCAGCAATATTCTTCGCGTAGTGCTGCGATCATTTGAGAGAATTCCAGGCCCGTCTGGGAGGGGTAAAGGGCGGTTGACATACGCCCATGGGCTCGTCGGCGGCTGGGGTCGGGTGGCCGTGAGCGTGCTCATCGTGTGCGAAGCGGCGCGACTGGCGCGAGAGTGAGATTCGGCTCGTCCGGGCAGCAGCCACTGCTGTTCTGCGTAGTGACTGCATCGTGAGGTTGCTGGCGGTCGTTGGTACCGCTGGGTTTCGCGATGATGCTGAGCTCGAGATTCGCTTAGTCAGACACTCGTAGTGGCTTGGCATCTGCGGTCGCTTGCTCTTGAACTTAACAATCATCGCATCTACAAGTCTTATCTCCATGAAATCGTTTCACGTGTAGGGAATGGTCTATAGTTCTGTTCCGCAACTTATCATCATATTAAGAAGGTGACCAGTTCATGGACGTGTTGACGTGAACATGCGCCCACGGAAGCAGGCCATCGACACTCTAGTAGAGTTCTACTCAAGTTATGGAGCATCTCAAGATATGCCTGGAAGTCTGAGATTGTCAGCGCTGAACACATACGCAATGAGCCGTTGCGTGATGAAGATTAGTAACTCTTACGGCCGTTGAGATTCCTTTGTTCGGCCCTTGGATTTCGTAGCGGTCCTAATCGGGAAACGGCCACCCGAGCCTCGGTATCTTCTCCGCAGAACACCTGTGGATGATCTGTGCGGACACGAACTACAAACGCGACCGAGCTGTCTTTACTTTTGACTTCCTATACCATCCATTTCCATTCAAAAGAACCTTGCTTTCTCGTCTCGTTCCCCAAATCACTACCGCGAAAGTCGGCCAAATCATTCCGAAGCGTGCCATCAATTCATCAACTCCATCATCATGCCTTCATATACATCGATCCACCTTGCCGAACGGCCAGTGGACGCTGTTGTCGCCGGCAAAACCTTCACACCAAAGCAGCAAGAAGTTCCATCGGCATCGTCACTAAAAGATGGCGAGGTACTTTTCCAGACACTCTACCTATCACTTGACCCGGCTATGCGCGGCTGGCTGAACCCAACGCGTTCTTACATTCCTCCGGTTGAGATTGGTGCCGTCATGCGTGGTAGCGGTATTGGCCTTATCGTTGCGAGTAAGAGCAAGAAATTCCCCGTCGGTACCTACGCGACTGGTATGTGCGGATGGTCCGAGTACTCGGTGCTGAATGAGAAGCACGTTGAGTCGTTGGATCTGCCGGAGGGGGCTGTACCAACCGATGCGCTGGGCGTATTGGGAATGACCGGCCTTACCGCCTACTTTGGACTCCTAGAAATTGGCCAAGTCAAAGCCGGAGACTTCGTCGTTGTTAGCGGTGCAGCTGGCGCTACTGGAAGTGTGGTCGGTCAAATCGCGAAGCTGAAGGGCGCCAAGGTTCTGGGTCTCGCTGGTGAGGACAGCAAAGTGTCATGGCTGAAGGAAGAACTCGGCTTTGACGAGGCGCTGAACTACAAGGACCCGGAGTTTGCAAAGAAGTTCAGGGCTGCAACCAAGGGTCTAATTGATGTGTACTTCGACAATGTAGGCGGAGAGATCCTTGACCTTGCCCTCTCCCTAGCGAAGCCTTTCGCGCGCTTCGTCATGTGCGGGGCAATCTCCGAGTACAACAAGAAGAAGCCTCAAGGGCCAAAGGTATGTCAAACATCTCAAGTCGTTGTAATGCGCCCAGCTAACCGAGCTCAGAACTACATGATGATCATCTCAATGCGCATTCGTATGCAAGGTTTCGTCGTCTTTGACTTCGCGGACAAGTACGCCGAGGCTAGGAAGCAGCTCGCGCAGTGGCTCTCAGAAGGCAAGCTGAAGAGGAAAGAGACAATCATTCAAGGAGGCATCAACAAGGCCGAGGACGCGCTAGTCGGACTGTTCGAGGGAAAGAACACTGGTAAGCCCATCCAATCACTGTTGAAGAATCGAGTCACTAACCACTGCAGGCAAAATCATGGTACAGGTCGCAGATCCTGAGGCAGTCAAGGCGAGGTTGTAGAGGTTAATTGATCATCAATCGGGTTTCTGCTAATCGAATGTGTTAACTCTACGTGTAATCTTGGTGAGTTTGTGCGACGAGGTGCTCCTTCCACCGCGGAGGCGTACGGTCACACCTGGCGTGGCCGCCTCCCTCAGGCGCGCGATCTCGACAGTCGAGCTACATTCGACACCCAGCGCACTCAACAAGCTCACCGTCCATCCTGACAGCTACATTACCTCGCAACTGACACCAGCTTCAATGGCCGCGACGATGTCGACTCCTCGATACGCAGAGGCAACGAGCCGGCTGGAGTCGCTACCTGCTGAACTCCTCGAAAGGATCCTGCTCGAAGCGATACGCGGAGTGCAACCCGCACTGACGGAAACAACGGTGTCTCTCAACAGACGATGTATGCAAGAAACGCTCAGCGGGCAATCCCGCGCTTCCAAACTCCTCGCGCTTAGGTACGTGGGCCGCACCGTTTACAACCACGCATGGCGCGCTTTTGCAAAAGTAATCGACGAGACCACCTTCGACCTATGCTCAATGCAGAGCATGAAAAACCTCGTGGCCTTAGCGAATTGCAAGGATTTGACCCCATGGGCTCGAAAACTGACTGTCACTTCTCGCTACACCGAGCATCTCCTGCCAGAAATTGGTAACGTGGAAACTGGTCGAGTTTTTACGCTCGATGAAGTATTTGAAGCTGGCCTCTTGGATAGGATTCAGTCTATCACAAAGGATGCCCTCAACTGGTACCCGGAGCTGTGGCTGTCTTCCGAAGACTATGACGGCAGCACTGCACATACACTACAGGATAGCGTTAGGAGCAGTCAGCTTTGGCAACTCGTTCTATCGTGTCTGGAAGCTTTGCCGAATATAGTCAACTTCCATTACTGCGCGAGGAGAGTAGCGGATAGGTGCAAGGAAGTCGTTCGAGAGATGTCAATGACCAAGGGCTTGGGCATCTTCTGGTATTCATATGAGCACTCAGGCATTCAAATCGGTCAAAGCCTCCTCCTGAGCGCCCTAGCGCAATCTATCGTTCTTCCCAAGAGACTCGAACTCGTTACGGAGATGAACGGATTACATTGCTTCACAACGCAAACTACGATACAAGTCATCAAAAAGGTCTCGAGCGAAGTCGAGGTTCTGATTCTCCGAGACGAGTTTAGCGATGATAGGTTTCAGCAAAATCCACCCCAAGCATTGTTGACCGTGGCTATCACCAGAGACACCTTTCCAGCATTACATACGCTCGTTCTGGACGGCTTGGTTCAGCACAGTACCCTCGGCGGCAACAATTTGGAGTCACCGCTTCCATCGGCCATGGACTTACCCACTGTGGCGAATCTCGTGTTCAGAGACACCAAAGTCGACCACCTGAGGCTAGTCAATTTCATCGCTCTGTTTAGAGAAACGATTCGCCAAATAACGTTCGTGGACATGTACAACGACAACTACAAGTCGATATTTGAGCTTTGCCAAAATCTCAATCTCGAGCGCTTGGAGATTACTGATGGTTATGGTGACGACTCGCTTGACGTTATGCTCATCACAGACGTTCCGAAAGCATTCTTTTATGGTGCCGCAAAGACTGTTGTTGTCGATCCACCAAGGAGTATGCGTGCTCTCGCTGAATCCTCTGCCAAAAACGAAGACAAGGATGCCCAAGAGTATCCGAAATAATCACAGGTCGAGACACGGACTCCGGACCGGGTGAACGATGCTTGGAAAGATTACAATCATGCTGATATGACGATGGAAAAAACAAAAAAGGTCTATTATTTACAACCAAACATCAGCGGGCAGTTCATTACACTAGTCGTTTCATCTATCAATGCTATCAAGTAGATCCAACATGTGCTTCTGACGTCTCATCCTCGCTGATGATGTATTGGTCGTTGACTGTGGCGTATGCGACGATAGTGGCCGTTCATGGCTATGGCTTGCTTGCGGTGCAAGTGGAGCGACATATGTTGCAGTGCTGCTCATCGGTGGTCGTGGGCTTGAAGAGACAGATGACACAGACCAAGGCCTACCAGTCTCGGCCTGATCTCGTGTAGCCATAGAAGGATGTGTTCGGGAGAAGACAGAATCAAGCTCGAATCTCGGCGGCGCGACTGATGTTTCATTGGCGATAGCGGTCGGCTCGCTGACCGTATGCGAGATGACGGGCCTGCGTATCGAGATAGCCGGTAATTCTGAAGCAAATGTTGTGTTGTATGTTTGGCTCGCAGGCAACTCATAGTCAGACGTATGCGAACTGGGCCGTAGACTATGTCTCGAAGTATGAGCTGGTTCGCTGCCTGGCAGCTCTACTGCCAGACTCACATCCCCCAACAACTCCGATAATGTCTCAACCTTCCTGTCTTGGAGGACATGGGGTCTTGGGGCTAGAGTTGGCGCGGTAGAATGGAACGCGTACGGGTTCACTGGTCCATCCGAGTTTGTGCCACTCATGAAACTGTCGCCTGCCAGTTCTGCGGGCACTTGATGCCTCTCTGGATACTTATAGCTCCATGTGTCTTTTCGGGCTGACAGTGTGATATGCGCATCATCACAGGCTTCACTCAGCGATGACCGCGAGCTTCTATGGATCGGCTGATCAATACTGAGATGACGCTTGGTATCTTCGAGCGATGTTTCCGAGCGGGGACTGCGCTGATCAGCCGATGTATATGTAGGGGGCGGACTGCTTGGTAGGCTGGGTGGCGATTGATATCGCGAGTTGTATGGCTTGTAGTCTCGGTGGTCTGGCATTACTTGCATTTGTCCACATAACGATCGTAGGGTGGACTTCACCGCATCCATGGTCGACGCGTCCTGTGTGTATGGTGCTTCGGTAAAGAACGACTTCTGGTTCGCTGGCCACGGAGTGTTGTTGGCTGGGTAAGATGTCGCTCGATTGCTGTCTCCCAAGAAGGCCTTCGGTGAGCCATCACCCAGTTGAGCGTGGCCGGTTAATCTTCTGTGCCGCGACACGATGTCATCAAAGTAGGTGGTATCCTGATACGTTGGAAGCGCCCCAGTACTGGGAAGGTCCTCCAAGCGATTAAGGAAGCTAAGTACATTCGATAACTGTTGATGGCATACCATGAGTTCGCTCTTGCGGTCCGCTAGTCGTTCTCGGTCTTTGAGAATGTGTCGAAGTTTCTGAGATTGGTCCAAGATATTGCGATGCTGCTCGACACTGCCGCAGTCCACCCATCTACCGATCTCCTCCAAGGCAGAGGTGGTGTTCTCGATACAACTCCTTATCCAAGGGAGCCTTTCGGGTGTGTTTGCGAGTTTTGTCCGTACCGAGCCAACGGCAACCAAACGCTCGACCTCGGACAGGTCGTTGCGAACGATTCGTATCGTTCGCAAGAAGACCTCGCTCTCGCTTCCGATGTCTGCGCTACGTATCGCAAGATCAGCGAACTGAAACGCCTTGCTGACGCTGGCGGATCTCGTGGGTATACCTGCTACATAGTAAGCCCTGCGCTGCGCTATGATCGTACAGCTTTCATACCTATGAGTCCACTCATATTATGAGACTTTGGTCCGTTCGGACAGTAATGGAAAAGCTCCCTAACGACGGTTGATGCTCATGATGAAACGGAGATGCAGGTCGTGAAGAACATGTTCACGAGCATGACAGCTGCCGGTGGGCGGCTCATAGACCCCCAACACTCTGTAAGCAGCGAAATCACCAACAAGGCTGAACCTGCGGGTACTGGAATACCCCTCATGCTGTGTCGCAGTGCTTCGAGAACCGATCTGCAGCTCAATGCTTCTTTCCACGGGCTGAGCTCATGCGTCTGCGCCTAAACATAGGGTCATTACTCCGCGGGCCATGATACCGGGCCTATAGCAGACAATCGAACTCATCAAGCTAAGTATATCTCACGACCAAGTGGCTGCTGCGTGTGTCGCGATGGGGAGGAGTAGATTGGACGGAGCGGGAAGGGACGCTCCTTCTCCGCGCCGGTGGCACTGGTGCTAAGACACATGGAGTTTAGTGCAAAAGCAAGCATCAACTTCGCTCTCCAGCCTCGTCCCTTCCTCCTGTGCGTCTCCGCCCGCACCCTTTGCCATATCCTAGACGCATCTCAGCTGATCAATCGGTGCATTGCATACTGCATAAACTATCGATGAAACGCCATTTTCGCCCCACCACACCTCATTTTCATGCTGCAATCTCCTTTTCCAGCAGCACGCGTGACTGGACCAGCACCTGCCCCTGGTCTCCGATTATCTGTAGCAATGCTGGGAACACTGCCAACCCTCCATGTTCGCTAGAAAACCCGAAACGGAAGACTCCGGGCTGTTCAAAGAGTAGGAACGCGAAGTTTGCCGATCGCGCAAGAATCATGTCCAAATTTTTGCTGCGCTGAATTTCCAAGCCACGCTGCACGAAGGGCGCCACGATGGCGTCTAGGTCTGCAGCCGCACTGGCGAATCTGTGGAGTCGGTCTTGCGTATCCTGACCAACTCGACCATGCAGGAGAGCACCAGTCATGGCCTTCCATTTGCTGTACATGGCTGATTGCGCTGAGTTGTGGAGTTAGCTTCTCATTACAGACTTCCAGAGGCTGAGCTCAACATACCGGCGTTTTTGCCATCTCTTCCAGTAACAGCTGAGGCGAGCGGCGCAAGCTCTCCCGGAAGCAAGCTCTCAACGCGTTCCCCGGTGCATCTCGAGAGCACACTCCAGGCTACAATGAGGCGAAGTGTTTCGGCTCGGGTTGAGATATTCGAGAGCATACTTGCAAGTACGGAAGACCTTGTGCCAGTTGCGATCGCCAGCTCTTTCATATTTGCCTGGTTGATACTGCCTGCCGGAACGGGAGAAACATGGTAAAACTCTCGAACGTGGTTCTTGATGCTGTCCCGTATCTTCAAGGCTGCATCTGTGATGGTATCATCTGCTACAGGCTGCGGTAGCATATCGTCGATGTTTGAAGCATAAGCGCCGGTAGCGACAGTCGGGCCTTTCTCCACTTGCCCAGCAGCGCCATAGTTGTGAGCGGAAGGTGGTAGATGATTTGGCGTGGGATTGTATTTTCTCTGCTTCTGACGGCGTAGCAGGAAAAAGAACACGGCTCCAGCGATCAGCAAACCGGCGAGGAACATTCCAATGGCTACCCCGGCCACTGCACCTCCTGGAAGTCCTTCCGAAGTCGAAAGCGGTCTCGCCGACGCCGTTGCATTCCGACCCGTGGTGTTGCTAACAACTATGCCTTTGCTCGGTGATTGTTGAGGAGTGGGCGGTGATGTCGTTGGCGGCGTGGTCGAAACACATTTCGACTCCGTAGAGTTAATCCAAGTGAGGGCGCAAGTGGGTGCCGGGACATTTGTGTCCACTACTGCTGCAGGAGCAGAAGTTGAAGAATTGGGTAGCGATGTCACCTGGGAAGACGACGATGCCGATGCTGGTGTCGATGGTGTGGATGACAACGCTCCCCCGATCGCCGGCGCGGTCGAAGAACCTGGAGTCGCTTCCGGAGTGGGTTCCGCTACCCCGCTCATGATCTTTCTATTCGCAGACGTTCTCTTGGGATACACGTATGAAACTTCAGAAGACAACACAGGAGTGAAGATGTTGAGACCACCTAGGTATCGTCGACTGAAGCAAGGCAGGCGTACCGCAACCCGATAGCACAGCCCGAGCAGATATATGCAGGCTTCAGCCGTATAACAGTAGCGCAGGCTGCGAAGCTCTGACCGCATTATTGGCTCACCGGAAATGGTAAATGTTGACGAGGCTGATACCAGTAATGTGGTGTTGAACTCTATGGTGTGGGGTCCAAATGCATTGTTGCTGAACGGTCACCAGCACGAGCCTGCGTGGTGTGTTACTACTGCATATCGGTCTGTCTCACCAAATCAACATCGTGTAACACCGCCACAAATGAATTGGTACCGCTGCAGACCCCACGTTGTACTTTTATGAGAATGGTCTCGACCTGTCGGCAAAAATGAAGTGTGAGGCTGAGCCAAGAGTGGCTTTCCAGAGGACAGGGAAGGCCGGCATATCTCAGCCTTGTCATTTCTTGCACCTGTATCTCATACATGACAAACATCACTACGTGTTGCTGAAATTACGCGAAGCTATAGTACTCTTGTTGTTGTTACGAAGCCGGAACTGACCATCATTTTAACCCGCGCTTTCATCATGGAATGTTCACAAACCCGACCAGACTTAGTCGTATCCATCGATTTTGGAATGACATGTAGGTAGCGACTTCTGAGTTGACAAGCTCTCAGCGCTCATAGGATTTACAGGTACTGGTGTCGCATACTGCAACGTAGCGACTGGGTCTGATAATGTACGGCACATTCAACGCTGGCCCGGAAGAACGCAAGCGAACGAAAACAAAGTAAGATCTTCGATGGTATACCACAAAGCCTAAGCTAACTTCGTGCAGGTGCCGACGTTGCTTGTATACCCACAGAACTCCGAAGCGCCATCATCGTGGGGATTTCTTGCTGAAACTGCACAAGAGAGCAGTGGTGCAGGTCACGAGAGTAGGGAATGGTTCAAGATCATGCTCGACGAAGACCTACTGGAACAAATGAGATCCAAGTCTAGTGAGCCGTTAAAAGTACCACATATCCAAGAAGTAGAGAAATGGTAAGTTCGGTACTCGAAGTTGGTCTCGTAGTTAGCTAACGGTTTTCCAGGTACACGGATTATTTCAGCT